TGGAGAATATCTTATTGCCCTTATATAAATCCATGGTATGCCCACATCTTGAATATTGCGTACAGATGTGGTCTCCTCATCTCAAAAAAGATATACTGGCACTAGATAAGGTTCAGAGAAGGGCAACTAAAATTATTAGGGATTTGGAATGGGTCCCATATGAAGAGAGATTAAAGAGGCTAGGACTTTTCAGCTTGGAAAAGAGAGGACTAAGGGGGGATATGACACAGGTATATAAAATTATGAGTGATGTGGAGAAAGTAGATAAGGACAAGTTATTTACTTATTCCCATAATACAAGAACTAGGGGTCACCAAATGAAATTAATAGGAAGCAGGTTTAAAAGAAATAAAAGGAAGTTCTTCACACAGTGCACAGTCAACTTGTGGAACTCCTTACCTGAGGCGGTTGTGAAGGCCAGGACTATAACAGCGTTTAAAAGAGAACTGGATAAATTCACGGAAGTTAAGTCCATTAATGGCTATTAGCCAGGATGGGTAAGGAATGGTGTCCCTAGCCTCTGTCAGAGGGTGGAGATGGATGGCAGGAGAGACAATATTGGTCAGCATGAGAGGTCAATATTGATCATTACCTGTTAGGTTCACTTCCTCTGGGGCACCTGGCATTGGCCACTGTTGGTAGACAGGATACTGGGCTGGATGGACCTTTGGTCTGATCCAGTACGGCCGTTCTTATGTTCTTACTGGCTAGCTTAGACAGTTTCCTGCTCAGCAATGTTGGCTTTTGGGAATCCCATTCTTAGACCACCACCTCTCATGCTGACCAATATTGTCTCCTTGTGTCCTTGTACTCCCCCATCCATCTGTGTCCATCTCTTTCCCATTGTCTTATGCTTACATTGCAAACTCTCTGGGGCATGGACTGTCTTTTTGTTCTGTATTTGAACAGCACCTAGCACAATGGGGTCCTGGTCCATGACCGGGGCTCCTAGGCACTACACTAATAGGCTCCTAACTTTCCCCAAGCATTGTGTAAGGCACCTAACTCAGGGTTGTAAATTCCACTGGATGGCAGGTAGCCAAGTCCCCTTGTGAATCCTACCCTAAGCACCTAGACTCTTTCCCCCACTTACAATAGCTGGGATCTTGTCCTGTCTGTCTCTATGCAATTTGTAGTCCAGTTCAATGAGATTTTATTCATATGGCCAGCTCTATGAGTGCTGCTGTAAGAAAAGCGGCAGAGAACCCTCAGGTCTCTGTCAAGGTGTGTGTGTGTGTGTTTGGGGGGGGGGAGGGTACAATCCCACAGAGGCTACACACTATGTGTGGACTATGATCCCTTGTGTCCATTTGTCAAAGCACTGCAAGCCTCTCCCCATCAGAGAGACTTCCCTGTGTTTGTCAGGAACTGGGTTACCAAGGTGAGTCAGCTCACAGCTTCACTCATTGGAGCGGCCTCCTGAGCCGCTCCCTCTGTTGCAGTCCTGGGCACCACCCTTTGCACAACCAGTCACAGCTGTTGCCAAGCTTAATAAGGTAGAAGATGAAAGACAAAATAACAGGCAGCTGCCCCACCCTCAATTGAGGGAAATCTCACTTTATTAACCCTTTGTGGTCTGGAAAATTTTGCCCAGCCACTTCCTTTCACCTAGACAGAAGCCACCTCCCTCACCTTAAATCCTCTACCCTGGAGCATGCTGCATTTTTCTTTTCAGCCTTTTTGTCATTCCCTGGCTCTGACTGGGGAGGTTGGGGGTATGCACACAGTTTGGGTGTGGGGTAACCCCTGTGGGATAATTATTAGTAGCACTACTGTCATGCTGAAGGCTCCAACCACTCGAATTGTGCTGTGCACTGCTCAAGTAGGTAGTGAGACATAGGTTCAGCCCCCAAACAGCTCGCACTCTGAGTGCCAATTTGTAAGCCAATAATCTCTAGGTAGTTGCAGTTTCTCAATGTGGTGAATTTCCAGGTCTCTCCATTGCAAAGGGGATACCAGCCCACAATGAGGCGGGATCAGGCCCTGGCAGCTGTGCTGGGTGCAGATAAAGGCAGCATTTTAGCTCTCTAAGTGGAATCTGGGTGGGTATTTATGACCCTTATTGTGTGGGGTTGATGTCACGGTTATTGTATCCTATTCTACTCACTGATTGCTTGGGCCTAGGAGGTGTCAAAGTGGCTATGGGCCCCTCAGGACTTGAACGTTTTTGTTGCAGCTTTGCCAACATGAGCCTATGTTAGAAATCATCTTTAGAACTAACCCGAATGGGTGGCCAGCTGCTGCTAAATACAAGCTATCCTGTCACCCCGTGGGGGACACTGGAACTGGTCAGACCTCGCTGTTAGTCATCTGCTGGGGGAAAGGGCTGGGAACACTCCCGAATGGAGCTGTGCAAGGCTCAGTCAGGGCATGTCTAAATCACTTTCTTTTCAGTCTGTGAAGTGTTGAATTTCAGAATCTCTGGGAGCCGCTGGGAGCTGTTTTTTCCCTTCCTGCAGGAGGAGACCTGAGCTCCAAGCTGGTGCGATAGGCTGCAGGGAAGGCAGGAAGGGAGAGGCAAACAGCCTGTGGCTCAGGAATGCACTGCCCTTATCTCGCTCTCTTGCAATCCTGGGGAATAACTCTCCAGAGTTTGTGCCTTGCTCGCTCGCTTACTCACCCTCTGTCCTGGGTGGAGCTTCACTCTGGCCTGTCTGAGGTGCCAGTGAATCAGGCTTCAGGCACGTCAGGGGGAGAGGCAGAGCCCAGAGCGAGACCCACCACCTGCGCTGGCTCACCTGGCAAGGTAGGAAAAGTTTAGGCTTCCTCAATTACTTACTCTGAGGGTCTCAGGGGACTCACTGGGGCTCTGGTCCTGGAGAGAGCAAGCCAAAGGCTGCAGGTGAGGGGGAGCTTGGGAACCAGGGACTCTCCCAGTTCGCAGTCGGGGTGCATTGCCTCAGGCGGTTTCTGCAGTGTCTAAGACAGCCATTCTTCCACAGTTTATGAAGTATTAATCTGGAGGGGGGAGCCCAGCAGTGGAGATAATCTCAGCAGGGGAAGATCCTAGCAGACTGGATGGGAGGGAAAGGGGATCGCAGCAGAGACTAACCAAAAACGCTTGTTGGGGGAAAGAGGGTCCCTGTAAAGACTGGGGGAGGGGGAGAGGGAGGGGTTGCAGAGGGATGCTGTTCTCATCTGTCTCAGCCCCTGGGGCAGGATTCTTCCTTACAGCTTTTTGTCAGGTCTCTGTCCAGTCTTCTTCTGAATGCCCCAAGGAAAGTAACTTTTCTGATTCCACCTGGGAGGGGATCCACAACCTGATAGAAGCTGCATGCATGTGACTCACTCCTCAGAGGGGCACCTGCAGCATATCTGTGTAAATTGAGGGGAAATGTTGCACTGGGAGGTTCTGGTCAGCGCATTAAGATGAAAAAGACTAACTGGGTTACAGGACTGGAAAGGGGAGGAGGCAAGGTGGGCAGGGACAAAGAAACAGTTGCTGCCACCCTCTGCTGCTTTGCCTGCCCTGGCCTCCCTCCATATGCCTGCACACACACATCATACACATGCAAAGAGACACGTACATGCACTCTTACTTGTTTTCCTCTGCAGATAGAAAACCCAGGGCTGCCTGGGGGGGGCAAGTGAGGCAATTTGCCCCAGGCCCTGTAGGGGCCCCCATGAGAGTTTTTCAGGGCCCCTGGAGCGGGGTCCTTTACTCACTCCGGGGGCCCCGGAAAACTCTTGTGGGGTCTGGGCCCCCGGAGCTTCTTCCGCTCCGGGTCTTCGGCGGCGAGGGGGTCCTTCTGCTCCGGGACCCGCTGCCGAAGTGCCCTGAAGATCCGCGGCGGGGGGTCCTTCCGCCTCGGGACCCGCTGCCGAAGTGCCGGGTCTCCGGCGGCAATTTGGTGGCAGGAAGACCCCGGGCCCCCTGAATCCTCTGGGCAGCCCTGAGAAAACCCTTATCTTTCCTGTGACAGAACTCGACTTTGTGTGTAGAGAGAGGGGAAGGCCCAGTGCTTAATTTGTAATGAAAGAGGGGCCAGGGCTCAAGCAGTTTTTCTACATTCATAACTGATACAGCAGGCCCAGAGGTGCTGGGCTCTGAACTGCCAGACCCAGAGGTGCCAGGGCTATGAACTGCCAAGTCTAGAGGTGCCAGAGCTCAGCCCTGGCACAAATTAAGCACTGGAAAGGCCTCATTTCCCAGGCACTCAGAAATGGTTCTGGTGAATGAAATGCAATTCAGCACTGGGCTGGCTTCAGACCAGGGCTCTCTGTATTGCTGGGGCAATCATGGAAATGGGGACTTGAAGGAAGAATAGTGTCTTTGGTGGCTTGATTTGGTTGGAGACACCTTGTTTATAAAGGTTGCACTCAGTTTCAGATGGAATACAGACAGTAGGACAATGGAACAGATGCCTCAGGAGGTTGTGGAAGCTTCTTCACTGGAGGTTTTCAAAAGGAGGCTGGTTAGCCAACTGTCTTGGATGGTTTAGACACAACAAATCTTGCATCTTGGCAGGGGGTTAGACTAGATGACCCCTTGTGCTCCCTTCTAACCTTATGGTTCTATGATTCTATGTGTGCATAGTATGTGATAAGAGGCAAAGAGCCTACTGGGCTGAAAAGCTGTAGCATACTTTAACTGGGGCTGTGAGGGGAGGGTTATAACACACTTTTACCCATCCAGCCATGGGCCCAAGATAGCGTATCTTCCTGGCTCAGGAGACACCTGCATTTGCCCCTATTTTCATGTGCTCAAAACATTCTAAACCAAAAATATCCTGCAGCTGTCCCTGGGACATTTCCAGCCCAAATGAGATATTTTGAACTTTTAGTAAAGTTACATTTGGCAAGTTTTTCACAGTCCCACTAAGGATGGGGAGTTTTACTAGTAAACTCCAACCCAGCTTGTAATGAAAACAGAGGCCCAAGACAACCCACTGAGGGGACACTGTAATCAGTTTTGTGGATTTGCCAGAATCTCCCCTCCCCAAATTAGGTTTCAGAGTAGCAGCCGTGTTAGTCTGTATCCGCAAAAAGAACAGGAGTACTTGTGGCACCTTAGAGACTAACAAATTTATTAGAGCATAAGCTTTTGTGGACTACAGCCCACTTCTTCAGATGCATATAGAGTGGAACTGTCTGTACTGGGCTATCTTGATTATCACTTCAAAAGTTTTTTTCTC